GTTCTGTTGCAGGTCTGCTGAAGTATCCAGAGTCTTCTGGCTGCTGGACACAAAGTGGATCCTGTCAGAACTGAGCTGAAGGCAGAGGTACAGGTAGACAAACACACACTCTGGTTCTGGTTCGGTCAGATTCAGACTCTTACCATCAGCAGGGTCTTTATGTGGGTCTTCAGAACCTCCATCTCTCGCAGCATCTCATTGGCTCTCCTCACCACCTCCTGGCTCTCATTGGCTGAAGACTGCAGGGGAGTCCTGAAACACAAAGACCAAGAGAGTCCAGATGGAACAGAACCTGAAACCAGGTCCTGATCCACGTCAGGAACAGCTGATGCTGCTGTTGCTAGGCAACAGGACTGATGAAGGACAGTGTCCTCCCTCTGTTCAGTCTGTTGTTCTGGTTTTAGAGAAGGGATCCTGGATCAGCTGGATCCTGGATCAGCTGGATCCTGGATCAGCTGGATCCTGGATCACCTGGATCCTGGATCAGCTGGATCCTGGATCAGCTGGATCCTGGATCAGCTGGATCCTGGATCACCTGGATCCTGGATCAGCTGGATCCTGGATCAGCTGGATCCTGGATCAGCTGACTGTTTGGATGAATGAAAGTACTTTTTGAGTCTAGCCTGGACTCTGGAGGTCCAGACCTTGGGGGCTCACATGAACATCTCGTCTCTTCGGAACATTCCAGAATAAATTACGTTTCCAGACMGAGCTGTAGCCATGGCAACCATATCCTCCTCTACGGTGTGTGTGTCTGTGTGTGTGTGTGTGGGGGGGGAGGGCTGAACAATGAGACCGCAGGATCCCCCACCTCTGCTCCAGGATTTATCCACGTCCCACATTCTGCTGGTTTCCAGCAGCGACCAAAACATTTTGACTTGTTTCAGCGATCAGCCAATCAGAGAGCAGCGTCAGTCTTTGATGTTGTTGTTCTCCAGCTGCACTGCAGATGTTTCACCTACAGAGTGTGTGTGTGTGTGTGTGTGTGTGTGTGTGTGTGTGTGTGTGTGTGTGTGTGT